AAAATAAAAATGGAACACAAAGCTTTGCTGCAAAAAAAAAAAAAAAAAAAAAAAAAAAAAATTGTGACAATTTACAGGATTTATTCAACCTTTTGTCCCATGTTCCGATTTTACTCATATACTTTTCTTTTCATTAAACAACTTTACATAAATTGCATAATAACACTCACATTTTGGACATTTTATTCACACGTCCCCAGATGATAAAACAGTGACCAACAAAACACAGACCACAGACGATCATTAAGACAAAATACATTAAAAACAGTTGCCAAAAGGGAACATGGCTTATGAGCTTTTAAGTAGCAACGCCTAAAGATTTATTCATTTAAATCATCTATACAAGGTTGGAAAAGTCTTTCAGAATCCTCTCAGGTTTCAGTTTCTTTTCACGCTGATGCAGATCTGTCCCGGAGAGGCTTGGAGAGATTTCCGGATTAAGCATTTGACCTTTTGTTTATCTGCTCCTCTGTGTTACTTTGAATGGCAGGACTTTCCTTTGACTCGCGTTGGTTATCTTTCCATTTGAAGCAGACATCTCTTCACAAATCGTACATAAAGACACTGAAAAGATGACAAAGACACCTACACAATGCTTGGAAACTACAGACGGGTGAAGTTAGGCCTTGGTTCAAAATTTCAATACAATTACAGCAAGTTTCATTTAATTAAGGTTAAAGGTGTGCTGTGTAAGCTTTCTAGTGGAGGGTATGCCATGTGTACTCTCTACTGCTATTGCTTAGCCTGAAATGTTCCAAAGTATGGCATTAAATGTGAATAGATAGCCTTTATTTCATTGTTTTATTGTTCACAAAAACTTCAAAATCATGTATAGTTAAAGTGCCTCAGTTAGACTACTCATTGCACTAAAACAGTTACGGTTAAAGGTTAGATTTAAGATGGTTGTGTAATTCCTCAGTCGTCTATGAAAATACTAAGATGAAACTTAAAACCAGGAGGGACAGGGCCTTCTCTGTGACTGGCCCTACGTGCTGTAACGCTCTGTTCCTTGACGTCCGTACAATGTTGTAGAGTGTTTTAGGTCTCGTCTTAAGATCCACTTTTATTCTCTGGCTTTTAACACTGTGTGAGTTTTGTGGTCCTCTGTGTTTTTAATTTAATTAAATTTTTTATTTGATTTTATTCATGTATTAAAATTTTTAGCCTTATGCATTTTAACACTTTTTATCTATTGTTTTTATTTATGATTTACTGTCTTTTATTGTATTAATTTGTCTGTGCAGCACTTTGGAAACGGTAATGTTTATAAAATGTGCCATATAAATAAAGTGGATTGGATAGTTGTTTTTAAGATTTTACTAAACATTCTTTACAAAATGTCCACTTTGGCCATTGATTTTAGGGTTAAAAATTTACTTTCTTGTCAGAAATCATTTGCCAGATTCATTAGCTGGTTTCACTTTGTAGAAACTGTCTGACCTCGCAGAGTTAGGATTCATTTGCTCAACGGTAGGCAGGTACTTTTTTATTTAACCAATCACTGCTATTTGGTTGTGACTTATGTAATGCGCCTCTGACGAGGCTAACTGGTATATTAAGCTTTTCCCAAATCCCATAGGAAGAAGGGCAATAACATCTTTCTCCTTGATAAAATTCACCAAACATTCTCCGGCTGTTCCGGCTTTAAATCCTCGATTTCAGGAATCATTGCCAACACAGAATGTATGGCTCTTCGCTGATTGGCTGGTGCCCGACCTCGCACTTCCGAGGTTTTTGTGAACAGTCTAGTGTATTCTGATTCCTGACCTAGTTGCTGAAGAGAAATGAAATTGAGAGGGGGCACTCAGTGGTGCCAACCTGTCTAAGAAATTATGACATGAAAATTCCAAGACTGGTACTGTTGTACCATGTCGTACAATGGGCCAAAACTCCTCTAATGTCACAGAAATGATTATTTGATGAATAAAATGATAAGAAAATACCTTTTATACCTATACCTAGCTATACCTAATACTTTGGCATAAAATTCTCAATATGTAACTTTCTACTTCCTGTAATTGTCTTATAATGTTTTTCAACTTTTCTTCACAAACTGCTTCTTGATTGGTGTAAAAATATAATTTATATTTACAACAGGTATTATGCCACCAAATTAAGTAAAATTCAAGAATTGTCACATGCACTTTAATGTGAGTGGGGTTGCCTCTCCACAGATGTGACTTGTAACATGGCTTAGTGGTGCTTGTCTCGATGAGAGCGATAAATACTGTGGAACATTTTCAGCAAAGCAATCAAGAGAATTATCCAATCAGAAAGCAGAATGAGCTTCCAACTTTGTTGCCAGATCCTACAATTTACAACAAACAATTTGCTATAAACTCCTAAAGACTTCTCAGTATCTGGCAGCTAATAACATCCAATTGTATTATATTTGATAAACATTTCCCAATTATGTTTTTTATGTGAAAGTATAGTGACTAGTATTGAAATTCCGACCCCAAACCCAAGTAACTTATTTTGTGTATAGTAACAACAACTTTTCTATGAGCTCTATGCTGTGTACTAGAGATGCGCGGATTGCGGTTACAACCGCGGTATCCGCGGTTAATCCGCGGGTCGGGCGGATGACGTGACGAAAAATTATATTTTAATTAAATTCGGGCGGGTGGCAGTTTAACTACTAAAAAAAAAAAAAAAAGTTATTGTTAGTATTGTTACCTACATCTGAAAAGACGAGTCTCATTGTCTATGCTTGTAGTATGAAGTGTACGTCATGTCCTTAATTAGCCCATTTGACCTCGTTTTTATGTTCTGAAGGTTCAGGTTGTGTCGGGTTATTGATGCCTAAGGTTTACGAGGCACATATTATATGCAGTTTATTTTATTATTTCTAATTTATTTCAGTTGTTTGCCAACACGTAAGTGGCTATAGGGCCTATTTATTTAGTTATGCTTTTTTTTGTTTTGTTTCGATATCAGATATATTTTAAAACACGCAGACATTATAGCGTAGACTGCCACTCGGGGTATTTAAAACTTAAAGAAAGACCGATGGAGTGAGGCTATGACTTTGAAATAACATCGGGCAATGGCAGAATGTTCAGAATGTAACAACATCCAACACGAAGGCAAGAAGGTTCAAAAACAGCCTAGTCGGAAAACGTTTGTCAGTTTGGGGTTGTTATGGACAATTAACTGTGTCGGCGGCAAGGTGGGGGCATTTGAGGGCCGTGCCCCCCCTAGCGGCCACTGGTGCCCCCCCCCCCCAAAAATTATACCATCAGCCGCCACTGGTCCTGGTTTAGTCCTGGTTTAGTCCTGGTTTAGTCCTGGTTTAGTCCCGGTCCCTCAAGTCTCAGGTCTCTATAGGACAGGACTGGACGGCGTTACCCTCGTGTACCACGTTCACTACAGCCCTGGTGCTGTCCGATGCGTGCCTATTTCTAGTTCAGAGGTGTTTTTGACGAGAGGCTGTTGTTTAAAGGTTGTATAGAGGATTTTCCAAGGAACGAGAAATCCAGCGACTGTTTGTCCTTTTTCAAATGTTGCGCATGCGTGAAACCACCCCCTCCCCCACAGCTCCCTACGTAGAAACGCCTCCTCCCGCCTCCTCTTTACGCCAGAAACAGGTTTGTTTACAGCCAGTGCGCTGCACATGACTTGTAAACAACTAACTACAGTGTTGGTTAGGCAAGACGGAGAAGTGAGGAGCGGGGGGGGGGGGGGGGCGCGGACATTTCGTTCGCGGGACGAGAAGTGAGGAGCAGGGAGAAGAGCGGAGCGGGGAGAGGAGAGAGGAGAGAGGAGAGGAGAGAGGAGAGGGAGCGGTGCGCTGAGATTCCGTGCCCGGAGAAGTGAGGAGCAGGGAGAAGAGCGGAGCGGGGAGAGAGGAGAGAGGAGAGAGGGAGCGGTGCGCTGAGATTCCGTGCCCGGAGAAGTGAGGAGCAGGGGGAAGAGTGGAACGGGCAGCGGGGACAGGAGCAGTAAGGGGTGCAGAGAAGGTTGCGCGGAGATTCCGTGCGAATGAACTAGCTACAACACGCAGCAGCAAGCGGACTCTTTCTTTGCCTTGAAAATTACGTTTTCAGACATAGGATATCGCTTTCGTGTCCTGAAAAACGTTTGACTAGCTCTTGGAAATAAAGTACGTTTTCATAATAAGCAGAAGTGACCTGTCCAGGAGTAATTTGGCGACCAATGCGTCAGTCTTTAGACCCTGCGTCTGCTTCAGTCGCGCCATCGCTGGAATGAATCTTCAAGAATCACCTTAGTTTGGCTTCGCTGCTTTTCCCCTTGTCTTCTTCTTTCAGCGACCTCAAAAACGGACTTTCTTTTGCGGCTAACTGCTCCTGGATTCTTGTCTGCCATTGTAACAAACTTTTGTGCTAACTGCGAGGAAGATATAGGTAAAAAAAAGCCGCTAAGAACTGTTGCGTTGGTGGAGTAAACAGCGTCTATGCGGCTTGTGTCTGTGGACTGCGTGACAGGCGTACGTAAACCACGTACCGGCGGCGCGCAGGCAAGTCAGTTACGCTAGAAACGTAGGGAGATTGATTGACAGCCTGTCAGCTAACAGATAACGAGGTAGTGTCGTTATCTATTGGCAAATGTTTAGCCCCACCACGTCCAGAGTTGATGAATTTTTATTCTCTTTTTTTTGGTCATCATAATTACAAGGCTACTGCACCTCTATAATGCTATCATTGACAACTTGAAACAAAAAAAAATCCTCCATACAACCTTTAATGTTTACAACCAGTGGCAGGACTTATTGTTTTTTAATAAACCTCAACCTTTTATTATTGTCTTGTGTGCGTATCGTCTACCACACAGCCTCAACAACTATTGCAGCTAATAATAATAATAATCTTAATATAATAATGATTATAATAACAACACATAATTAGCCTAATACTGTTAAAGAAAAACGTGTTTGATAGCATTTCTGCTGTGTATGACTCCACCGCGTTAAAATATTTCTCAAATGGCAGTGCCCCCCCTGCTGGTGACCCATGCCCCTCCAGTAGATGTGCTCTGACGCCGACTCTGACAATTAAGAATGAACATACACACTGAGCGAATTTTGGAATGAATGAGCTATAGTTTGCATTTTTATCGAGGCTCCTTAGTTTGTTTGCTGTATGATTGTTCTAAAATCTAAAATCAGTCGGCGGATGGCGGGCGGGTGCGGTTTTGAAAACCTTCGGTGCAAAATGGATAGCGGGCGGATGATGAGTTTTGTATCGCGGTTGCGGATGAAAAAATAGCCCATCCGCGCATCTCTACTGTGTACCCAAATCTGGACCAATTAAAATGCCCTAAAAAGGCATATGGTGCAGGTGTCTTTAGGAGTTTTTTGTGGTTTAAATGAGTCTCTCGGGTCCAGTGCAGACTTTCAGATTTCTTCTATGGAGTCGGCAGCCACCAAACCCCTCTTCTTTCCACTGCTCAGCTTCAGAAAAACCTCTCCGTCTTCTCTTTTGCCCACACAGATCTGAGGAGGGAGCAGCCAATTAGAAAGAGTTTGTTTATTATTGCAGTAAGTTACCACTACTACTACTACTACTACAACTAATACAACTATTACAACCTCTACAATTACTTCTATTACATGAGCTACAACTACCAATCATACTACTAAAACTATGTGTCTCAACTGCTGGGTTTCCTCTCCGTCTTCTCTTTTGCCCACATAGATCTGAGGAGGGAGCAGCCAATTAGAAAGAGTTTGTTTACTACTGCAGTGAGTTATGGGTCCTGCATGGGCTAAAATGTCAGCGCTGTTTTTAAAGAGGATGAAATAGGAACCAGATCTAAAGCCTTGTGCCAGCTGGCTAGTCTAATCAGTTATCAATTACTGCAGTGACTAAACAACTTTTGAACTATACTGCTGTTACTACTACTACTACTATTACTATTTAATGCTGCTGTTTGCTATTATAATTAGTTATTATGTTCCATTGTTGCTGCCGAAGAATGAATTTCCTTCAGGATCAAGAAAGTATCTATCTATCTATCTATCTATCTATCTATCTATCTACTACATCTACAACTACTTCTATTACTACTACTACTACTACTACTACTACTACTAGTACTTCTTGCTGTAAATCAGTTTGTTGCAACTTGTTACGGTTGTTTTAAATGTGCTATATAAATAAAATTACTTGCCTACTACTACTACTCCAACTACTGCTACTACTACTACTACTCCAACTACTGCTACTACTACTACTACTACTACTACTACTACTTCAACTATTGCTGCTACTACTACTACTACTACTACTACTATTACTCCAACTACTGCTACTACTACTCCTACTACTACTACTTCAACTACTGCTACTACTCCTACTACTACTACTTCAACTACTGCTACTACTACTCCTACTACTACTACTTCAACTACTGCTACTACTCCTACTACTACTACTACTTCAATTACTGCTACTACTACTACTACTACTCCAACTGCTACTGCTCCTACTACTATTGCTGCTACTACTCCGACTACTGCTACTCAACTACTACTACTTGTTGTAAAGCAGTTTGTTGCAACTTGTTACAGTTGTTTTAAATGTGCTATATAAATAAAATGACTTGACTACTACTACTACTCCAACAACTCCTACTGCTACTACTCCTACTACTACTACTAATACTGCTACAACTCCAACTCCTCCTCCTCCTCCTCCTCCTACTACTACTACTACTACTCCTACTCCTACTTCTTGTTGTAAAGCACTTTTTTGCAACTTGTTATAATTGTTTTAAATGTGCTTTATAAATAAATGACTTGACTTGACTACTACTACTACAACTACTACAACTACTTCTACAACTACTACTACAACAAAAAGTACAACAACTACGACTACGACTACAACAAGAATTACTACTACTACAACTACTTGAGCTACAACTACTAATCGTACTACTAAAACATTTCATTGAGCTTTCCATTGACATTCTATATTGTTGTTCTGGGTCTTGGGTCTTGTCACTGATAGAAATGATCAGGTTCAACATTTGTAAATTTATCAATGACATATTTCAAGTACAAAGTAATCAATATGGAAAACTGTCTTTTGCCCCCATCTGGGACTATGACATCATCATATTGTAGAATCTGAAATCCACCAATTTGTGCCACAAATTAAAAGCAAAACTTTTAATACAGGAGTCGTGATTCTAGACAAAAATCTCAGGTTTTTGGATCTGAAAATGATCCAAATTTAATACCGCTGTGGGTACAATGACTCCCAGTTCCTCTACTTTTGCCAATGCAATTACTTAGCAACTTTTTCAATTATGATGAGTCATGGTCCTGCCCAAAATATCAAAGGATCTGAGAGAAAGTAATCGATCTTAGACTTGGCCAGTGACACATCATCACCTATTGCTCCTGACACTGTCCATATAAAATCCTAGTATTTATATTTCTAGTAATCCTGCTACTAGTCTTATACTTATAACTTCAATAAATTTTACTACCACCTGTTGCTTATAGCTAATACTGATGACTACACCACAGCATTACTACTAACCAAGTTTCAATTTCCAGTGAAGCAAACTTTCACAATATTAGCCTTAACTAAACTAGGACTAAAACTGGAACCAAACCAGGACTAGACCAAAACCTGTAGAACAAGACCAAGCCAAGAAATATCCTGTAATCGTATTGTCAAAAGTCTTACAATAATAATATAATAACACAACCTTACCATATTTATTCTTGTATTAACTGTTCTGAAGACAACTAATGACAGATTTTTCTGGTTTATCTAGTTTCTAGCTGATCTGAGTTCATTTGAAGATGCAAAACTGTATAAAAATTCTTCCTGTGATCTGGAAGTCTCCAAAGCAACATGCTTCTACTGGCTCTCAAGCTGACATGGTGCACAAGCTCCTTCAAAATTTAGACTCAATTAAATCCAGATTCTTGTGATTTTGTCACAGTTTACATCTATAATAGTCCTGTACATGATCCAGTTTTTTTTTTTTTTTTTTTTTTATTGGGCCATTTTGTCATTAAATATGGAACTCGTCTCCAAATTTGCCACTATAACCGCAAGCCTCGATGAGCTTCATTTGACTGAAGGTGAACACTATGGGTGACGTCACACTCCCTTAGTCCACTTCTTCTATACAGGCTATGGTGTGAATGCAGTCTTACCATATTTTCTCTAGTATTAACTGCTATGAATAGAATTAGTAACAGATTTTTCCGGTCTATGTAGTTTCTATCTGATTTTACAGGTCATTTGAAGATTGCGCAAAAATTCTTCCTGTGATCTGCAACTCTCCAAAACAACATGCTTTGAATGAGTCATGCTTCCGAGTCTAAACTGCCAGTAGAGTTTTTAAAGAGGACAGGACTGACAGTAAAATGGTCCTAAATTATCCTTGTAGGTCTTGGTTACCTGGGACTCTCGCACAGCCATGTGTCCTCGCTCACGGTTTCCCTGGGAGCTCTGGATCACTCTCCACACTCTCTCTCCTGGACGCACCCGCTGCACAAAATTAGCAGGAAAAAAGCCCACGCGGTCTCCAGTTTTACCCTGAAAACAGAAAACAAACAGATAAGCAATGACTGTACATGTGTATGAAAAGGGTAGGATGAGACAAGAACTTGATAATAAGAAGTCAACTAGATGAATATGAATTAACAGAGGAAATACTTAAAAAAAAAATACACCTTAATTATTCTTAAGAAATCATGAAGAAAGATTTAATGAATAATGAAGATTTAATTAATAGTTTATTAAGAATAGACCTTTTTCACAACAGCTGGAAGTGCCATGATGTAGGGTAAATGTAACTCCTGGTTACTGCTTTTCTATGACAAAATATCTGTGGAAATGTCTTGCATATTTGCCATAATGTTAGTTTTATTCAGTAATTCACTAATGCGTCGTTGTTTGCCTTTGCGTTTTCGTCTTTCTTATCTTGATAGTTGTGGATAAATTCTTCATGAACAGAATATTTCCTTTGTGGGCCTTGTTGAATGAAGATTTGGTGATTTGAAGATTTATGAAGCTGGTGGAAAATAAACTAGACATTTCCAAAGATATATTTGCCATAGAAAAGCATTAACTGGGAGTTACGTTTACCCTACATTGTGGCACTTATCGCCGTTGTAAAAAAGGTCTATTCTTCAGTCTAAGGAATTGCTTTATATAGTATAATTTGTTGAATTTTTTTCTTCATTTGTACACAATTCTAGCATATAGTGTTTGATTATGCTTTGATAATGTCCAAAAAAACTAAATAAAAACATTGTTACAAAAATATATATATAAAGTTATTATGAACTCATACCACAAATACTATACTAGCCTACTAGACTATAATGCTGTTCTCGATACTCAAAGTTACTTGACAGTTTTGATGCAAAATTCATTGACTCCTCACTCAGACTCAGGGTCGTAAGCAAGAGCAGAGCTGCCCCTGGGGAAATGGACAGATGCCTGGGTCTTTGAATTGGTTCTTGTTTTGAACTTCTGTAGCAATGCTGTAGTCCTATTTTATACCTGCTGGTGCTCTATTGGATAAGAAGGTGGTGGAGAACTACTGCACTGCAGTAGAGGAAAACATCCAAATGGCCAAAGTGAGTCTTGCTCAAAGAAAAATAGCAGTATAACATTCTGGAGTAAGAATTGAACTAGCAACTTTTAGGTTTGTGGGCATTTCTCTCTACCTATGCCATGTCAGTACATTTCTAGTCTATATTTCTTCACTTGAGATGTTATTGCTTTGTCTGGAATGTTTCACAGTATGGCATTAAACCTTTCTATCTTCACTGAAACCAAACAAGACCAAGTTACACATCAGATCTGTGGAGAGAGGACCCCGCTTACAGTCAGAATGCCAATTTTTCAAAGCATTTTGAGCTATAAAACCACCCGAATAAATGTAAGGTGTAAAGCTGTTTAATGTCATACTGTGGAACATTCCAAGTAAAGCAGTGACATCTCCATAGAAACAAGCAGGTGATGGACCCCCAATCAAAAAGTTACACAGCACACCTTTAACCCTCAAGGAAGAAAACATGTATTACCGAACAGAAAATTGTTTAGTGAGGGCAGAGTGGTTTTACAATTACATTCAAATGGGCCCTATACGGCGTCCATCTTAGGAAATGAACCTAATGAATGTGGATGCTTCATGTATTAAATAACCTGAGAGGAAAATTACATGTCCTGTAGAATCAATCCTTATTTGATTCTACGACTACATTGTCTTTAATTGTATTACTTCTCTTCCATGTACTCTGCAACTGCAGTTCTAATGGCACTCAGTGTACATGGGACACGATTGCATTCAAAAGTCATTCTGTGTCTTCTGCATCGCTTAAAGATGTGTTTCTTGGGCTTGCATCTCCACATACCTGACTCTTATTTAGCCAGGCCTCCATGGAAATAGTAATGGGAAGAATATTGTACTTATATAATACTAAATACCTGCATTAAACAGTATTTTGTAATGTATTCTGATACATGGGTAATCAAAGTACTGTATTCTGAATACCGTATTTTCCGGGCTATTAGATGCGCTCTTAAGCCTGTAACCCCATCAAAAAAGGACCGCGCGCCCCGCAAGCCAGAACACCCTATACACGAATCCACTCGAGTGTCCCAGCACAACTTCAGTAAACTACAAAGCTGCACACAAACACGCACAGAGCAGACAGCGACCGTGCGGCGAAAAACACCCACAACCACACTCATCACTCCACGCTGACAAGGAATGGAACGGAGGAACGAACTGAAAAAGCGAGTCTAACGTGCCACTCTGAGCCACAACTGAACAACTGAGTCACTGTGAACACACCAACAAACCAGCGGTCCCAGACGGCACCCTCCCTACACGCCACAACTGAACAAAGCCCAGAGTCACTGTGGACTTGCCAAACAAAGTCCCACTGACCCATCCAACTGTTGTGTTTCGTTTAAAGTCCAGTGCGTTTTATTTGTGAAAAAAGTTCGAAAATAGACCATTTAATGACAGTGCGCCTTATAATCCAGAGCGTCTAATAGCCTGGAAAATACGATACTTAGAATACTTTTACATCAAGTTGCATTTAAATTATGGTGTAGAAAGCAATGTAGGATTAAAACAGCTTCATGTTTGACCATTTGTTGTACATTTATTTATCGCTCACTGGAGAAGGGAAAATTGCATATGCACATATCATAAGAGCACTGTTTTCTATTTTTCACTCTAAGGCTACGTTTATATGACGGCCTGAACACAAGACACAAAAGTGGCATCGCTTCTTCACTTTTTATTTTGTGCTCAGACAAGTGTTTTTGGGAGGAAATCTGCGTAGATACGATGATGCAGAAGTGTGTGAAATTTGATTGGGTAGGCATGCTAGGCGGCGAGGTGGTGACGCTAGGTGGTGATGTATGTGATATAAACGTGAAAAAATGAACTGTACCAGAATACTGTTACTTGAAATTAGTATTCAGAATACATATTCTCGATATTCAGTTACTTCCCAACACTGTCCTTTGGCTATAATCGTACACAGTACGAACATAGCTATTTCAACGTGAACATTGTCTATCTCTGGAGAATGTTCCAAAGTATGCTTTTTACCATCTATTTCTACGGAATCATGTAAGTGATGTGCCAACTCCAGAAAATTAATGTAACTTTGACTTTCTGTAGTGAAGTTATACATATATTTTGACTGAAACTATTGACTTGATTGTATTTTCAAAAAGGTTGGATCAGTAGAGCTCAAGGGATATTTGTATGTTGGTGATTATTTGAGAGAGCTCCCTGATTTAAAATGAAACAAAGAAACAAAACACAACTCCTAGTATGTTTTAGAGGAGGTTACAAGGCTTAAAGCTCACAAGAGTCGATTTAGCGTAATATATGACCTTGAATAATGCATCAAATAGTTACAAAATAGCAAAAAAATGTTGGAGTCACTGGTAATAGTTGAAATACCTATTCCCACTTAAAGGTTACAGTGCAGCGTTGTATAAAAAGTAACCCTCTGATCACCTTTGCAATAATAATGTCTCAGTTAAAACGTTGGTAAATACAAAACAGATATCACTATTAGAATACTGATTTGTCACAGAACTGTACTGTCTCCTGTCACCTAACTGCTTATTAAATTATCACTTTAATAAGAATGAATACATAACCAGCCTGTTTATGACAAATGTTGGTGCATTGTGTCCCCTGCTATGCTGAATATAATTACGGCACTGTCTATGTTGTTGATGCCTTTGGTTGTGGGCCATCACCCATAGCTATACAAAAGTAATGGATGATTCACCGTTAATGCATAATTCAAAGCATTTTAGATCCAGTGCTGGGGATAGGAGGGTACTACTGCGTCACCTTTGGTTAGAGATAAAGTAGAAACAGACTTTTTATGGCTAGAATGCTGATAATAACACCACAATATCTGTTTTATGTGGAATTAGCATATACATAGATAGAGAGATAGAGGGATGGAGAGACAGATAACATTTATATAACGGCAAAGCGGGTGGCAATGTCCTCACTTGCAAAGTTATATAGTGTTCTTTTAAAATGTTGTGTTTTGTTTTATTCACACGGTTGATTTTATTATTAGTCTACACAGCATAGAGCTCATTGAAAAGTTGTTGTTACAATCCTCAAAATGCTCTGTTCCACCTTGTGATGTCATGTAGTGGTAGTTTTCAAGTTGACAGCTACTTTTTACCTTTTTTTTTTTTTTGTTTTTTTTAGGAGACTGACAATTGCAGAGCTGAAATCACCATAATAATTCTAGTGAAGGTGCATGGAGTTTAAAAACACAGTGGGGTATGGCATCAAAATAGTCCCATAATATACACGCACGATAAAACATGCATTCCAGCGTATTGTATTATTTCACACATGTAGATATTAACTGCGAGTGAGCATGTAGAGAAATCTGTGACCTGCGTGCAAAGCAACCACTGAGGAGCAGACGCACCGTAGAAAAGACAACAAGCTCTCTCGAAGTTGTTTTCTGTCCGTTCATGTGAGTGTGGTTGATTTTTGAATCTGTGTATCTGTCTCAGTCCTGGTCTCAGTTCTGGTCTGGTCCTTGTCTCAGTCCCGGTCTCAGTCCCAGTCTTAGTTCCAATCTCAGTCCCGGTCTCAATCCTGATCACCCAACAGTCTACGTGGGCACACCTCCGGGTCCGTCCCAACACTCAGTCCTGGTTCAGTCCTGTTTTAGTCCTGGTTCAGTCCTGGTTCAGTCCTGGTTCAGTCCGTATGTGGCGCAAAAGTCCGGCATCGCAATTTAAGCCATAGAAATGACAAAAGGCTGTTATCCATTTTTTCCATTATTCATTCAATCACAACACCGAAAACTGAAAAAAATTATCCTTATAAATTTTTTTCATTTTGGTTTTGGAGACAAATAATGAAGAAAATAGTTGTTTTTTATTTTGAAAAATTAATGAAAGAATGATACACGGATTCAAAAATCCAGCTCGCGTGCAACTGAACAGAAATAAACTTCGAGAGTGCTTGTTGTCTTTTCGATGGTGTGTCTGCCCCCCAGTGGTTGTTCTGTGCGCAGGTCACAGATTTCTCCTCGCGCTTAGAGCTAATTAATATCTTCATGTGTGAAATAATATAATATGCCCGAATGCATATTTTATAGTGACAGTGTATTATGGGACTATTTTGATGCCATAGTGGAGCATTTCCTGTATTGGCACATGACTTCACAAGGTGAAACAGAATGTTTCCTGTTTGAGAAAATATGCAGGCTTTGTGTGTTATGTGTGAATGAAACAAAACACAACTAAAGATATGTTTTTGATGAGGAAACAACATTATAACATAGATCAGAAAATTTAAAGAACAGAAACTTGTTAATGAATCTATATAAAACAATCCTACATAAATCTGAAAAGTCTAATTTAATTCTACAAAAATAACTCAGAAAGAACACTTCATATGTCTGGAAAGTAAGCACAAGTTGCAGTAAATAAATATTCTGGTATAGCCCGTGCCCTCTGGTTAGCTCTTGTTCTCTGGGCGCATTCCCAACACTTAACAGTCACAGATGTCCATTTATTTCCATTGAGACCGAGAGCAGCTCATTACACTCTCAATAAAGGGGCTCTTTGAGGTTGTTCAATTACATTATGTTAAAGTCTTTTGGTAATTTTCTGAACAAAATGAGCATCTATTTCTGTGTGAGCCCTTCTGTGTGCTGAAGAGGAGCAGGTGTGATGTTACAGCTCGTGCTTAAAGACCAGGATTTACATATGTGCACAATGATCACATGGGTTTGCTCCACACAGACCTCTACACTTTCTGCAGTGAGTCAAGGTTACAGACAATGTATATATAGTTTAGTGAGCATTTGTTTTGCCTAAATTTGAATCTGAAATGCAATGGATAAGGTATTCCAATAAAGGTCAAGAGCTGTTTTTGGCCAGTTCAAACTTAGCCTGAACTTTGGAAGATAATGTTACATTAAAAGCTATACCAAATATCGATGTCATTGTCGCACTGTTAACCTGTAGATCAGTGGAGCAATGATGATTATGTCAAGAGCAGGAGTCAAACCACCAACCTCCAGAGCACTCAACCAACTGAGCTACTGTTCCCTGTCCCAGTCTCCTCTGTGAAATACAGTTGTGTAAGATTCCCTATTGCCACTGCCCAGTGATGACTGGACCCTAGAAGCTCCTCCTGTCTCCAGACCCTGTGGACCTGGATCCTCCCCTCCCTCACCTGGCTGGTTGACCCCAATATAATTATTATTTTTGCTTTATCCTTTGATTCTCTAACTTTCTGTTGGTTAAATCAATGATCTTATTACACCCTGTTAGTAACTGCTGTTGTGATTTTGGGCTTCACAAAAATAAACTGAATTGAATTGTGAGTAGTTAAAGGGGCCAAATGGCAGGCCAGGCTCTGCCAGTTCCTCCCAGAGCAGCTGTGGCTACAAAAGTAGAACAGACAACAGTGAGTGGATTTGAATTAAATGAGGAAAAATTTATTGAGTTACACAAGTTTGGGATATTTGGTTCACATGAATCCAAATCATCTGAAGAATAACGGCTATTTGAATCTGATTGGGTGAAGCTTCAGGACCGCGGAACAACCCCCCAAAAAATATTTTCTGTTACGTCCAGTCAAAAGAAAAGCACAGACGTTTCCCCTATACACAAATACTCAAAGCTCTTTCCTTTTGCACATTTTTCAAAAATGAAATCCGCAATAACGCAATGACGCTAAAATGGGCTGATGTACGTCCATCAGCGTGGCCATGTTTGTTTTGTTACATTTGGGAACTTTGCTTTTGGTTTCTGCACAAACATCTGCTCTGTGAGGTGGTTTCTGTGCTGCTCTGTGATTGGTGCACCAACTAGCAGGTGTTGGTCAAGACGGGTTCTCTCACAAATATCACGAGAATTCATCTTGTTGTCAAGGCTACCCTATTGCAGATGTGGGCACAATTGTTGCTTACAATCACCAAGTATTAAGAGTCCAAAAAACCCTATATAAATCCAGTGCATTGTTGAAATGAAATGGATTTATTTTACACTCACCTTCCACCATTCTTCGTTGGAGTCGTCTGTGACCTGCACTCGATCTCCAGGGCTGAAACAGATCAACATGAGCGTGAGACTGAAGAGCTCCAGAAACATGTGACTGAACAAACACTGGGGTGATGTGACAGCAGGATGACGGGGAGAACCATTCACAGAGCAACAGCCACAGAAAAGAGCTCTGAGTGGCAATATAAAGATAACGTTATCAAACTGTCAGGTGTGTAGTAAAGGCATTTACAAGTGCTGTGGTAAAAGTGAACCCTTTGACTGGTTGTGTATAGAGGAAGAGGAGGAGTAGGTGATGAAGAAATGCCATGACATCCTTTTACAAAAACACAAACCTAAAATCACTCACTCAACCTGAGCTGTTAGCTAACCTGCATGCTAATGATGGCACTTTTAAAACTCGCACACACTGTCCTAGATACAGCTCTGTCCCACTTGTGCTTGTTTCTGTACATTGTGCCCAAAGGGAGTCAGGTTCTGCTTTTGCCCTATATGATTATTACTCAGTGTAAGTTGGCGCTGTTACATAACTGCAATCACTTTTTCAATCTGGTATGTCATAACAAAGTTTCACCTTGAGCTAATTTAAACCAGATGCCCTTCCTAATGCTGCCCTCTTAATCCACTTCAAATGATGTCAAAAGGGGAAATTTCAAATACCGTATTTTTACTATATGTTGCACTATAAGTTGCACTTTTTTTCATGGTTCAAGTGTTCCTGCGACTTATACTCCGGTGTGACTTATATATTACAATTTTCACACTGACTTTTTTTCTAGGCTTGTGTGTCTACTACTCCTATTACTCCTGTACCACTGTCACTTGTCTACCTCTGTCCTGTCTGTATCATGTCATTTGATTGCACCATTACTTCTGTACCACTAAAAATTTAAAATTTAAACAAACTTATAAAGACAACTGAGAAGACTGAACACAAATGCCCCCAAAGAGAAAATCATATTTACAAGCTGCAAGTAGCGAAATATGTAGCCGAAAACAGTAATTGAGCAACAGAAAGAAAGTTTGGAGTCAGCGAGAAACTTGTGACAACCAGGAGGGTGCGCCACGCAACTTTCCTGGAAGTCACAGGATAGATCAACAAAGCCTGGACTTCAGTGACAACCGAAACCATCCTGTTGGGATTCAGAAAGGCCAAAATAATTCTAACTGAAACTGAGTCTGATGACAGCCAGACCTACACATTTTTTGGCTGGTGCGACTTGTACTTAGAAGCGTTTTATAGTCCGAAAAATACGGTGCATGCACCAGGACTAAATTACTAATATAGCTAAAGTAATTCGACTAAACTAGGGTTATCCTTTTGGCATTTCTAAGATGGATTTCCACAGAGTAATTTGTATTTCAGTTGTAACCTTTAAACAATAAGATGAAATGTCTGTGTAATCCCTCAGTTGTCCAGGTAGATCCATAACAAAAGAAAAATTCTATTCTGTCAAATGGACAAAGTTTTTGATTGAATACATTTCGTAGCTCATCCAAGCTCCTTCTTCAGGTCCGGTCAGATTGATGGTGGACGCTGCCTTACATCTGTCTGAAGGGAGGAACTAACTAAGGCAGTGTCCACCAGCAATCTGACAAATATATTACGAATAAATAACCTTGACAAAACAGTGGGCCAGGATATAACCAGAAAAATTTACCAAGAACTAAACTAGTACTAGAAATCTGCTGATCCGATACTAGTTCTGGATATCAGCCTAGATACTGAAAATTTTGCTGAATCGGATATGAGCTTCTCAAATATCGATTCAGTTGATATCCTGGTTGGACTTATGTAATTAGACTGCATGTTGTAGTTGGCCCAGAAAGTCACATAATATTTGAACTTTTATTTGCAAAAAGCTGTTCTGTGGTTACATGAGAGATAAATAACATCTACATAACACATTTAGATCAGTTTTGTCTTTTTATTTTTATTTCAATGAAATAGTGTTTTCAGTCTCTGCACTGGTATCGAGAATCAGCAGTTTTTGGGGCCCAGATTTTGACCCTCTTCCTATTAATTTATATTAGAGGGGGGCCCATGTGCAGTTTCTTGCCCCAAGCCCCAAATTTTGTTGACGGGCCTGGGTATCGGAACTGAAAAAGCTGGAGCAGTGCATCATTAGACCAGGATATAAGCAGAAAAATGAACGAAGAACTAAAGCAGGTATTAGATAAGTTTAAATCAGAACTAACCCAGAACTAAACCAGGTCTAAACTTTTACTAAACCTGCAGGCAGTTTTCGAACCACTGTTGTAATTATCCATTTCATTACTCTTCGTACTAACAGTGATCACATTGAGTCTCTGCTTATAATAACCCCTTCAGCAAATTCAATTGTCTGTTCTACTATGGACCACTTGCACTCTGAAACACATTTTCAACTAATGATTTAATTTTTCATATTTTCTGTTTGATTAAAAATATATTTCAGCTCGGGTAGATACAAATGAGTGAGCTGTAATGAGCAGTTGATAAAATGGTGGTTCGTAAGGGATTTAATTGAGATGAGTGACTGGGGCCTAGACAGTGTTTTGTGAAGAAGAGGAGATGGAGAGGTTGAGGAGGCCAACAGTTCTGCTGCTGTGATGGAGCTTAAAAGTTTTTTTAGTGCAGACAAAGGTGGGTATAGCATTCACTATGCTCTTTATGTTACTTTGAAATAATGCTGTACTTGTCAGAGTAGTTTTCAAATATTTAAAATTTAAATTTAAAATTTAAATAAAATTTAAATATTTTACAGTATAGACAGACAGATGGACAGATTTACTTTTTAAAAAGTCCTATATTAAGCAAAACTGACTCTTGTGAGTTTTAAACCATGTTATAATGTTGTTTTCTTCTCAAAAACATACTTGGAGTTGTGTTTTGTTTCATTAACAGACATTTAACACACAAGCCATGCATAGTTAGGTTGTGTTCTGCTCTCAAATGGAAAACACTCCACCTTGTGATGCCATGTGGTAATATAGGAAGTGCTCCACTGTGTTTTTAAACTCCATACACCTTCACTAGAATCATTTGTATGATTTCAGCCCTGGAATTGCCCATCTCTACTGAACTAAAGGCAAAAAAGGGAGTACTTAACTTGAAAACAGCCACTTCATAACATCACAAAGTGCAACAGAGTGTTTTGAACTTTGGGGATGTACACAGACTGTCGTACCAACTATAAGTCATACTTTTTTCATGGTTTGGGTGGTCCTGTGACTTATAGTTCGGTGCGACTTTTATATTAGAATTTTCACACTGACAGCTACCAGAAGGCATTCTAAGCTTGTGCGAAATATGCAGCTGAAAACGATAATTGAGCAGCAGAAAGAAAGTTTGGAGTGAGCGAGGAAACTTGTGACAACCGGGAGAGTGCACCATGCAACTTTCGTGGAAGTCATTGGATGAATCGACAAAGCCTGGACTTCAGTGACAACTGAAACCATCCTGTCGGGATTCAGAAAGGCCAGAATAATTCTAACTGAAACTTAGGCTGAGTCTGACGACAGCTACGCAGAAGAGGAAGTGGTGCGCCGTTTACCTCCGGAGGGTGCGGACTTGGTCAGAAGTGACCCCAAGGATGAAGAATTCAATGGATTTAGTGATTTGGAGTGAGATGGAGAGTTTGGTAAACTTGTTCTGTTCTGTTGTTTATGTTATAGTTATCTGAAGAACTGTTCATGTGACGTTAACAGCCTGTTGTTCTCTATTCTATTGTTATTACTATAACTTGCCTTTCAAGATGAAATGTCAGTTTCTGGTCTCTGATTAAATATATAAAAAAAAAGTCTTAGTACGGTGTGACTTATATATGTTTTTTCTTCTTCATTACACATTTTTTTGGCTGGTGCGACTTATACTCCGGGAGCAACTTATAGTCCGAAAAATAAACACAAAACACAACTCGAGGCATGTTTTTGATGAGGTATCAACATTATAACATGACCTGTTTCTCACAAGAGTCCATCTTGCATGATATAGGACCTTGAATAAAACAGTGGTAGGGCGATGGAGGGGAGAGAGTGTAATGTGGCCTGGGAGGTGATTGTATAAGAAGCAAAGTTAGCAGACAGAAGAGACAGCCTTCCAAAATGATTCTACTATTTTATTTTTATTACCAGCGATCCTGTTTATAATTCCCCTTGCATACATTTGCAGGGGCCTGCTGAGAGGGGCTGAATCATGACTGCATCCCCGTGCGTGGCGTTGCATACAAATAATGGGGAGCAATCTGCAACTTAAATTACTACTTTCTATTCATGTAATTTACCACAAACTATAATTTAAATTTTCAGCTAATATTTTGTGCATCATTAGACTGATATGATCGGGTTTAATCAGTGGAGTTTGTTGTCTTGCAAAAACAGTAATTAAAAACCGACAAAAGATAATTATTTTGGCATTGATTCTGCAGATAATATTTGAGAAATGAAGCTGAAAGTCCTATTACACATTCCCTAATGACCGAACTCTGCCTTTCGTTTGAATATTGTGATTTTTCGTGGTCATTTTCATCAGCATTGTTGATGAAAACTATTTCCCTAAACATTAATAAGATGTTGTGAAAAGGCTGGGACAGTGTGACCTCTTTTGGCTTTGATTGGCCATTGTTCATCCTTGTTTATCCAGGAACTCAAATGAGATGAGAGGCTTATGTGGAGAGCCAGAGCAATTAAAGGGATTTTAGGGTAAATATTATTATAACTTTTTAGGTCAAAGTTCAAGGGTTGCTTGAGGGCACACAAGGAAATGCATTCAAGAAGAAATATACCAAAAATGTAGTGATTTTCTGTTCAGAATGCTCATTATCTTTCTATTATTGATACTTTGCAGCAGATGTCTTCAACACTTCCTGGGGGTGTCATGCTAACTGTAGGCACTGATCTGTCTGAGGTTTTATTAGACTTTAATCTGTACTTTATTTTATCTGATCTGATACATGTCACAAGCTGGCATCAACCAACAGTTTTTCAGTTTTCAGACCATTTTAAAACTGTCTTAATGAGTGCTTTGAGTCACCATGGAAACTGATGAATATTTCACCATAC